TGTTGGTAATAAGGATGGGATATGTGTTGCCTATTTTACAATAAACTCTGTGCTTTCAAAAAGGACAGAAGATCTCTGATAAGTGAAGTTGTTTCAGGCCAGTTTCAGCACATTCTGGAAAAAAGTGTTCCCAAAATAAGAGCATGATGCAGTCTGTATTACTGTGAGAGCAGAGCTAGTTTCAGTAGACACGAAAAAGAAATCAAATTGATGGCATAAGAAATTTGGAAAAAATACAGTCAACCTGAAGTCGTTAATACAATAGAAACTATGGAAAGGATAAGGAAAAAGCACTGACTTGTTCCATTTAGATCAACCATTAAGCCATCTTGCACATGGTCTTGAATCAGCTGTAATGTTCTCTCAAATATCTCTCCTGCTCTTGCTTGCTCAATAGTGTAAGGATCTCTTGGGTATCGAAATAATGCTAGCAAGTCATTTGGCGAGCGAGGGCGACTAATAGATAAAACAAGTAAAATGTACAAAAAAGGATAAAAGAAATTAATCAGAACTACTAAATAGTTGCAGCCTTGAATATATAGTACTAAGACTGTGATAATAAAGCTCAAAATCTTTCATTAAAACATCTGTTAAGCAATTGGAAATAAGTACCTTAATTGCTTGTCCCAAATTTATTTATTTATTTCCCGGGATTTATATTCCGCCCTACCCCACAAGCGGGCTCAGGGTGGTTCACATCATAGTATAAAACACGTCTACTTCACATAATGTTGCACACCTATAAAGCTAACTAAAAGGAAGCCCTCCCAAAATGTTTTCACCAGATTCACTGCAGATGGAAATATACTAAATCCAATATGAAAATAATTACATGATAAATCCAGGTTTAAATGGAGGTTTCAAAAATGAAGAGTTGTGAACTTCCAGGCTCCTGAGATTCTACTTCTCAAATTAACCCTGCACACTTCCCCAGAATTCTGGGAAACTTCAGCAGCAGCCTCTAAAACAGTGATATCCACTTAGTACCTTGGGAGACACATGTGGCATCCACCCCATGTTTCAGTAAAGTAGGCAAAGGACCTTGCCCAATGGGGCTTGTGGCTGGTAAATGGTTCCCACCTTGAAACTGCCACTGTCAGAGGAACGGATAAGCTGTGGGCCTCATGCCAGGAACTGAAGTTAATGTGGCTCTTCTGGTTGATGGCATTTATTGGGGTATTTATAGGCTGCTTTATTCCCTCCTGGGGACCGAAAGCAGCTTACAGTACAAGCATAAAATGGAAACAAACAGAAGGGGGAAAACAAAGTTTGAGTCCAGTGGCACCTTTAAGACCAACAAAATTTTATTCACGGACTAAGCTTTTGTGTGCAAGCACACTTCCTCAGAGACCAAGGGAGAAAAGACCTCCAAATACAGGGATGCTTTCTCTCTTTGCCAGCAGATTTCCCTCCAAGTTCAAGATTACAACACTCAAGGCCAAGAGCCCTTTGGCCACTATCCTTTGGCTCATGCCTCATGCATAAGTGGCTCTCTGTGAGACACAGACTGAATATCACTGATGTAAAGCATCACAAGTTACCAAGATCAAAGAACACACACTCAATTAAGCACCAGAAGTGGTTAGGGGACTGTGACCTTTGAAATAAATAGTAGTTTGATTTAGAATTATAACAGTAATTTGGCCTCCACAGGGACACTCTAAATTTGGTGCAATCTTAAAATCATTCAGGAATCTATGGGAGCAGACTGTGAGCCAGAAGATACCTCAATGCAAAGTAACTCTGCTCACAAGGATGGCAAGTAACTGGTATCTGGATATATCAATTCCAAAGTAATGAATGGTAAAATGGGCAAGGCATGCGTTTTGCAAATACAAAGTTCTCAAAGACTGTATCCAACTTTTCTAACTATACTGCCATGTCCCTTGAAGCTGCAATCAGAAAATGAGAAGGCAGTGAACCAACAAATTGTCATAATGAAAGTCAACATGATACCTGTCAAACAAATGTGTGCGTGTTGAGTTTATTGCTCTGTCAACAGTAGCAATAGCTTCAACAATTGAGCTTGCTACGAATGGATCTCCATTCCGACTGACATCAGGAACTAAAGGGAGGGAGGAAAACAAAAAAGAAAAAGCTGCAACATTCTCCACACACACAAAATTACTTAATGTAAGTAAAGTCTAGACATGGCATCTGTCTGTCTGTCTGTCTGTCTGTCTGTCTATATCTATCTATCTATCTATCTATCTATCTATCTATCTATCTATCTATCTATCTATCTATCTATCTCTATAAACAGAAATCAGAATAGAAATCAAAATACAAAATACCTTACTTAGTATTATTTTTCTGGTATTCAATTATTGGACCTATAAATTTTGCCACTGAAAGGATGACAAGATGGTTTTTATCCAATAATAATAAAAAATCTTGACGTTTTTCTTCTTTTGTAACTGAACATTATTACTGTCTTGGGAATGTTCTCAAAACATTTAAATTGGACTGGGGAAAAATTCTATTCTTTTGCAATCTGAAACACTTGATGGACTTTGCAAAGTATGTCAGAAAACACACAACACTTTTCAAGATATACTTCAATCACAAGCTTATTATTAAAACATGGAGGCTGCAGTCCAAAAATTGATGCAACAAGTTTCATAAAGCCAAGCAGGCTTTGCATTTTAGTTTCTGAAATGACCCTCTCCCCATGTCATGTATTTTATTTTCCAGATTATTGTTTATATCTGTAAGAACCAAACTCTGTAGAAATTCTAGTGCAACTTTATTGCTACTTCCCCATCTCAGGAATCTACGATTTATTCCCATCATAGTTTCTGTGAGGTTTGGCTGGCCTGTAGATTAAAAGTTAACTTAGAAGTTGGGATGTGAAATCTACTTTAACACTTAATACCACTAGATGAGTGGGATTCAAACAGCTTTACGCTAAATCTGACCCAATCCATCTTCTTATTGTGGCTTATTGTGTCAAAAGGGACCCCTCCTCTCTTTTTTACCAGTGGACAAATAGGCTGGATCCATACACTATTTCTAAACTGCATTCAACAGAATATTGTCAACAGGTCTAAATACAGAAATTTCCACTGTTTTAGGCTTGCATTACTGAAAAATGGTACAAAAGAGGAGTCCACTGGTATCTTAACAATTGACAAAATTTATTCATGGAGTGTTGATTGTAGTGTTGATCATTACATCTAACTATAGGCCTAACTATAGCTGTGATCCGCCCTGAGCCCATTTGCAGGGAGGGCAGACTATAAATTTGAATAAATAAATAAATAAAAACAAAAACACCTGGCAACATCATAGACCCTGTGGGGATATCAATAAACCCATTTGAACTATATATCTGTGTCTTTGTATTCATTTATATAAGTAAATTCATATATATGCTATTAATAGATAATTTCATTCCTTAATAATTTTGATAACATTAATTATGCATTCTATACAACAAAAACTAAAAGTTCTCTAAGGACAGTATGTAATGGTACAGTGGTGCAGAAAAATGTTTCCGTGTGACATGCAACTTAAGGACAGTATGCAATGGTGCAGTGGCGCAGAATAATGTTCCAGTGTGACAACATGCATCCAGGACTTTAAGTGCATTTCAAGAATCTTCTTCAAGGCCACAATTCTGTCTTATGCAGAATTCATGCCAGAACCAATGCTCATAAAATTTTTATATAGCACCTCCCAAACGGCTGTCTTACTCTTCTTGAGAAGCATATATATGAATTTACTTATAATATAAATAAACACAAAGACACAGATATACCATTCAAATTGATTTGTTGATATCTCCACAGAGTTCTTCTTTGATTTTTATCAATTTATATACACTGTGTTTCCCCTTTTCTTGGTTTTATAACATCATAGACCCTGGCACACAAAACTGTAAGTTATAAATGCCGAAGGGAGATATGCACCCTAAGTCTGTGCATGCTAAATTGGAACTTATCTCCACTGGGACTCACTCCAAGTTAAGTGTGCATAAAATTGCAGCTTTTGAGCACTATTCTCTAGTTAAGTTCACCTGAAATATACATGCCTCACCTTATGCTACTGTTCGTCATTTTTTTTAAAAAAATATTCATTAAAAAGAACAAACTACACAGCTAATGATTTGGCCCAATCCCACTCACTACTCCATCTAGTATATTACATGCACTCTAGAAGCTTTTTAAAGGTTTGAAGACTTATTTTACATCATTAACCTTTCACTGTCCATTGCACTGTATAACTCTTACCGTTCACACTCAGTACCATACTAACTGAGGAATATCCAATAGTATTCCGGGCAACACATTCGTAACGGCCTTCATCTGCTGGTCCAACATCACGAATAGTAAGAAATCCCTCAGCGCTAACATGAAATTTTCCACTTTCTGTAACTTGAACACCATCCTGTAGAAGGTTAGAATATTAAATTACTGTGATAACCTTTCTAGCTTCTGAAGTTTCTCCAGCTATTCCCTTTTCCCCCTCCTCCTTTAGAAGCAATGGTTCAGCTCACATACAATGACCAACTCATGGATTGGTCATCTGTGCCTGAGCCATGGGTTTGTGTACTCTCATTCCATCCTCATTCCCACTGTGTGAATGGATTCTATCCCTTGCTTTCTTTTTCTCAACAACCCCCCCCCCCAAAAAAAAAACAACAACAACACAGTCTTGGGTCCACTGGTGATTTCTACTGATGGAAGAGATTTCTGTCAGCAAAGCACAGCTTTGCTTATTCCCTGCCACTGCAGATCAAAATACCCCCCCAAATCCTTCTCTTGAGTAACAGGGGACCCCCAGGGACAACTTGAGAGGAGATTTGGAGGTTTGCAGCAAGAGAGGGCAATTCAGTGAACCCCCCCCCCTTTCTATCAGAATAAAAGCCTTAATTTGGTCACTTTATAAGGGAATAAGAATTTCAAACTAAAATCACACTGTGGTAGTTCTGATAATTGCTTCAGGAACTGAGTTTGCTACAAGTGGAACTCAGCTTTGACTGACAGTGGGAGCACTCCTAAGCAGATCTACCCAGAAGTAAGTCTCATGTTATTCAATGGGCCTTACTCCCAAAAGTAATTTAGGATTGCAGCCAAAATTCGTCCAACATGCATATGACAGCAAACTGATATTCTGAGAAAAATGCCCCTTGCAAATGCACAGCTTCCATTATGCCCCTCCCTGAAGCCCCAAACTCCTTCTGAGTTGTAAACAGGAGATGGAAGAGATCCATTCTACAAGTGAACTTTGTTTGCAGTTCTTAGGTTCTAATCCATTATGCCAAAAAACAGTCTTGATGTCTGTGCACCAATGAACACGTTACATATGAATGTGCAAACACTTCTCTATAAACAGTATCATCAAATTCTCTGGAGCCCATTCCTGAACTATATCGAAAGCTGCCTGATAGGAAGACCATCCTTTTATGAAATCGATATTCCTTTGGTAAGACTTAATGGATGATTTTTCTTCTTGCTTGTCAACAGGTCAAACAGTAATTGTGAAAAGTAAACACTATTCTTCCAGGTTAAATTGAGGAGTTTTAAAATCAGAAATTACTGGAAGTGTTGATTGAACCTGTATTGTGAATTTCTGGCAGGGCTGCCTCATATTTTAATAATCTAGTATTTCTATTAGAACAGCTAACAACAGCATTTCTAATTCCAATTAGGTATCCTTTATCATTTACAGCACATGGGATTACATATAGTAAATGCATATATCGTAAATATATAGTAATATATATAGTGAATACAAGGAGTCTTTGCCCCCCTGCACTCCCTAAGATATCCAGAGAGTGGGGCTACCTTTGTAAATAGCATCAGGTGTGGCACATAGGGCTTCACAGGACGAAGCACCTGGCAGAAAAAAACTTGCTCACATACACTGTTATATGAGCCCATGTACTGTTAGGAGCTGCAGTGGCTAAAGTGGTTAAGACGCTGAACTGCAGGCTGTGGAAGGTCAGTAGTTCAGCAGTTTGAGACCTGAGTTGCCGCATGACGGAGTGAGCTCCCGTCTCTAGTTCCAGCTCCTGCCAACCTAGAAGTTCGAAAGCAAGAAATTGCAAGTAGATAAATAGGTACCACTTCGGTGGGAAGGTAACAGCGTTCTGTGCGCCTTGGTGTTTAGTCATGCCGGCCACATGACCACGGAAACGTCTTCGGACAGTGCTGGCTCTTTGGCTTTGAAACGGAGATGAGCACCGCAACCCTAGAGTCGGACTCAACTGGCTTTCGAGCAAGGGAACCTTTACCTTTTACTGTTTGTAAAAGTCCTAGCACCATTTTCTATAGCTGCATAGCCGACAGAAGCAGATATTATATTTTAGAGGAGAAGCGATTGTAGTCAGTAGGAAACACATTGTTTTTATAAATGAAACAAGCACAAGGATGGTGTTTTTTTACCTTATTCCATGTTATTACTGGCTCAGGCTCTCCTTGAGAACTGCATGGAATCTGCACATTTGTGCCAACTTCTACCGTCATATCATTTGGAACATTAGCAAACACAGGAGTAACTAAAGTGGAACAGAAGCCATGACAAATATGTATAACAGTTTGAAAAGACTGGAAAATGATAACATTCGAATTCATGAAGTAAATGTTGTCACCTTACCAGGATACCTCTTTATTAGAAAGTGTTTCTACCATTCATGACAACTGAAAGGACATTAGATTAATACTTGAACAAATCTGAGCCAGTTTTATGTAGAGTATACTAATGATGTAAATCATTACATTGAAAGCTTTCTAGCCTCCAACAATTAGGGTCTGAAGTGCTTACTTCATACATACTTCTTCATGAAGCTTTTAATTTCTTCACAGAGGGTAGGGAAAAACAGTTCACTCAAATTTTTACATTCATAAAGATGAATTACTTTTCTGTCTCCATATGAATTATAAATGTGCCAAGTCTTATTATTTTACCTTGTCTCAAAGACAGAGTTTTATATTAAACTTGAAAGTAAAAGTAGCTATTTATATATGAAAATGTACTACTTATGTTCTAGCAGTTACTACTAAAGCTCTTTGTACTCTTTGTAACTATACCATCAACAAATATACACAATTTCAGCATCTTCTTATTCTCCCACTCTCTCCTGAAATGTGGTGTTAGTATTTTTTCCAAAATGGAACCTTTTCCAGAAAAAACATGCTATATTTCCCTGTAGTCTATCTATAGTTGTCAGGGTTGCTATGCTTCAGATTAATTATGTTAGATGGGCTAAATGTGCAATGTGAAGTATGGACAACCCCCAATGCTTGTACATGGTGTATTTGCCTTCTTTTGCTAAAATAATTTAAATATTTATTTAAATTTCCAAATTCAAATTTTCCCAGAAAACCAACATCATTTGTTGAGCCCCATGCTCCCATAAATGGAAGATGCCTGAAGAAACAGAATTTCTCTCCCATAGTAGCCCTCTGTGTCCATCAAACCCTCCAAAACTACTGATGAGGGTTAGGTGATCATTCTCAAAAAGCTGCACTTATAACTTCAGGAAGAAGTGAAAAAATCAGGCAAAGCACTCCCCATTGCCAGTAGCAATGCTCCAAATTACACCAGCAATTGAGATGCTAAATATCAGCCATTAAGCACATTGCTTGAAAATCACATATTCATTGAGAATAAATGCATTCACATGGAAGAAAATACATCAGGCACCACTGTTTTATTCAACTAAACCAACCCATGCATGGCAAACATGATCATGTGAGCTGGTGGAAAAGGATACTTTAGTAAGAAAAAACTGCCTCTTATAATCAAACACCGACAACAAATGTGTAACCTTAATATAGTAATTCCAATTTTATGTCACCCTAGAAAAAAATAATTCCTAATTTCTACAAAGATTGAAACTAAGTCAATCTTAAAAAAAATTAGAAGCACCTGGGTCTTTCTGAACATACCTCTAGGTTGTACACTCAAATGCACAGCAACTCTTTGAGATCCTACAATGTTGACAGCCTGACATTCATATTGGCCTTGGTCATGCAAAGCAACTCTGGAAATCCTCAGGGTTCCAGATGACAAGACTAAGTGCCTTCTATCTACAGACAGTTGGCTTCCTGAAAAACATCAAATATTTATTAAATGAAATATCACATAGGTATTACAGCACACAAATAAAATTGTTTCTAAAGATTACTGAGAAATGCCAATTGGGAAGTCCCATAATTAGAGCCTTCTACACATTTTTAAAAGAAGCACACCGGACCCAGCAAACAGCAGCTTTGAAGTGCTATTTTGTGTTGAGAAAATGGCAATGGTGTAACCCTTAAAGTAAATCCCCTCCGCTCTGCCCACATTACAGACCTGTTCCAAAATGAGGCACAAATCCAGGTACTGGAATCCTCCCCCCAATCCAAACTATGACCCCATATGTCCACTATTAAAAAACCCCAAAACATGGCAGCCCTATACAAAGAACTGCTAGTGGCTCATCCAGTTTGGTCCTTATCCTTACAGAAAGAAGCACCCAAAAATGATTGTATGAAGAATGCAGATGTCAAATAACAACTAATCACTCATTATATTTTTACTTGCCTGGTTCTAGCACAGAAACAGCACAACTTAACTGAGTTAATGAAGACAATAAACTGAGTTAATGCAAGACAAAAGAAAAGAGGCAAAGGCTGTAGGCGTCAAGCTGGCTGGCTGGAGAGACACATGGATGCCCAAAGATGCAGGGATCTGGTAGTGGGGGGGTAGCGCTTGACTGCTGTGTAATCCTGGTTAACTGAGCATTCTGGACAATCAAGTGCTGGATAACAAAACTTTTACTGTATTTCCATTTTAAGAACATCAGGCAGCTATATCTACCAATTCACCACTCCGATTGCAGACTCCCACTGTGGCCTCTGAGTTTCTCCTAAGGACCCCCCATTCTATTATTTTATATAGAATTGTAATTAATGCCTAATAAAGGTTCCAACTGACTGAAAACAGAAGAAAATGGGAAATTTCTGCTCTGCAAAGACACAAGCCAGTACTACCATTGGTAAAACTACATTTAAAAGTGTATATAATTTTTCATAGACTGTATGAGTCTCTTGAAAAATTGTGAAGGTATATGATTTTTCCAGGTTTAGAGACTTAAACCAGTTTAAATTCTTACCTCCTTTAGTCCATGCAATAACTGGTTGTGGATAGCCCTGTGCTTCACAAGGGAAGTCAACAGTTTGCCCTTCAATCACTGTTCTGTCTTGAGGAGTCACTGTAAATTGGGGTACAGCTATACAAAAATATTAAAATTAGATTTAAATAGATGAGAACACATAATTTAGCTTGAAATTATTTTTGTTAATCATTTTACTAGGCACTGTGAGCAGTTTTCACTACAGATGTTTGATATCCATCTTGTGCTACATTGAGTAGCACAAATCCATAATCATTAGAGAATTAAGAGGCTACAAATAAATGAAAGCAACAATCCAAAAGTGGATGTACCACAGCTCAGGAATGGTTTATTCAAGCAGCAATGTTGTCTAGATTGTAAATATCTTGATTACTATCCTTAAAAAAAACAACCCTCAACAGAATCATGAAGAAAACACAATGGGAAGGATCCAAGCAACTTTTACATTCTATGTTGCCCAATTCTCCTTCTTATTACACCCTCATCCTGCATGGCTTTTGTCTAAGAAGGTTCCACAATTCACAGCCTTCATGGTGGTCAAGTGAGATCCTCTCTTTCTTTTTCACCAGCGGGAAAACATTGACCATTACAGCCTGAGATTACACTGGCAATACATGAAACATACTGGTAAAATTGGCTGGCCTTATAAAAATTACTGGATGAATAGAAGAATAGCACATAGGTAATCTTCATCTTACACTCTGAGAAATTACACTTGTATATTTAGAGGATTAGGAGGAAAAGTACAGTCTTTCTGCATATTTAGACTACATGCATCTGGAAGCAAGAGCTAACAATGCAATCATAAACAGTTACAACATTCCAATCCCATTAAAGTCTGTAAACTCAGAAGGGTGTCATTCTTAGGATTAGGAGGAAAAGTACAGTCTTTCTCTGCAGTGGGGACCAAAGCAGCTTACATCATTCTCCTTTCCCCCTTTTGATCTGCACAACAGCCTTGTAAGATAGGTTAGGCTGAAAGTCTGTGACTGGTCCGAAATCACCCACTCAGCTTCCACAGCAAGAGCCTAGGTCTCCCCTGGAGAAAATAACTGCTTTGGAGGTTGGACTCTATGGCATTCTATTCAGCTGAGGCCTCTTTCCTCCCCAAACTCCACCACAAAATCTCCAGGAATTTCCCAATGTGGAGCTGGCAACCCTAGTCAGGATTGGCCCCAAAACAGCACGTGGCTACTGTGTGTGCGGAGTGGTTGAGTGCCCGAACTTCTCCGGGTCTCACCAGCCTTTGGAGTCTTTTTAGGGGACTTTCTTGACATTTCTGGACTACTCCAGATTTGACAAGGGTCCACCAGATCCTCGGGAGCAGGAACTGGGAGCAGAAGACCTAAACTGAGCCCTCCGTCTGTGGCAACAGCAGGTGCAGGTTTCAGTTTATCTTGAGCAGAAACTCTGAAGGATCAACCGTGGGAGTCCATGGCTGGAAAGCTTCACAAACCCCAAACAAGAGCCTTTACACCTCACCACAATCATCTTGGCGAAGACTCTGTGAGTAATCTCTTCTTCTTTTTACAAGCGTCAGACTCGTAAAAGGACACTGGATTGCCCCCATAAATCTTTCCCAGAGACAAACTTTGTGAGCTCTTGGGAAATTTATGCATTGGAGCAGATGGGCTAAATAAATCATTGAAATCTTCTATCTGCTATTGGAAAACATCTTTATGGAGACTTATTTTATG